TCGTTTTGTTTGTTTACAAACTGCTGGACAACGAATGTTTTCTCATCGGAGAAACCAATTCGGCAGTTCACCACTTTCGGTCAAGCGAAGCAACTCCTTAGCTCTTTTGAGTCTATTTTCTTTCCCTTGAAGTAAGTTCTTTCACTTTTTTCAATATTTGCCGAATGGAATATTGGGATATGTTCAGCTCACGAGCCATTTTTCGGCCACTGCGACGCGGGTTTCGATCAAGTCGCTTCTTTACTTTTCGAAGCATTTCTGCTGATGTTGCTGTTTTCTTTCGTCCACTTTCTTGAAGTTGGGCTTCGCTACCAGTGGCACGGTAATGAGCGATGCTACGAGAGACAAAAGATTTATTCACATTTAAAGGCTGGAGTGCTCTAACAATGGCCACTGTTTTTTTATTCAACCAAATATAAAGAAATCACACTATCACTCTTGAATTCCATAACGAATAACTTTTTTTCTGGAAAATTCTCATCGAAATGCTTTTGTACGCTTGTAAACAATAGGTGTGTCTGGTTACTTTCCCTGCAGGAATTGTCCAGCAACATCTTTCTGAGAGAGTAAGGTAGTTTTATTCTCTTTTGCAAGGAAATTGCGAAAAGTAAACAGACGGTATTCCTGCACAAGCTTGCAACTAATCAGCTGATTTGTCAAAACAAACCAATTTGTCCCCCTTTAAAAGAATTAAACGAAAGGAACCACCACCAATTTCACAAGTTTTATAAATAAAAAGGAAATTGGCAATAAAATAAAAGTATGAGCAATAAAAGGAAGATAGATTTGATGTGTTCCGCGGAATCCTTTAAACCAGTTGCTAATGGCATTTGTCTAAAAATGTTGGAAATAGTCTTTTATTTTCTTATTACATATTAAAATTTATTTTTTTCACATTTTGTAAAGTTGTTCTCCAAAACAGAGGGCGAAGCCGATGTGAAATTCTCGGCGGCGGCGGCTAAGCATAAAAAAGTCGGCGGCGGCTAAAAGTCGACTGCAGCCGAAAGAAAATCGGCGGCGGCGGCTAAAGCAATATACGGCCGGCGGCGGCTAAAAGTCGGCTACAGCCGACGACTTTAACGTGAACAAATAATTTCGGTTGTTTTAATAACTGTCAATTCATTTAATTTAAAATAAAAATGAAAATATAAGTTTATATGCACATTTGTTGCTTATAGCATATTAAAAATTATAATAAAAATACTTTAATTTGATAAAAATGGTTCGACGACTGCCTTGTTATCGTGAACAAACAATTGTTTCTTTACTGTTGCCGGATGCAGGCTGCTTCTCTTTGCATTTATACAATTCCCGGTATATGAAAATGCTTGCTCTGAAGATGCTGATGTGGCTGGAATTCCAAAGCACATATTTGCTACAGTAGCAACATTTGGAAAGATCTATAAAAAGTAAATGGTCAAAACGTAACCTGCTTAAAACAAGTTTAAGATGTGAATCTTTAACGTACTTGTTTGTTCTGTCGCCACCAATCTAGAGGCTCAACCGCCTCGACTTTCATTTCCAAATATTTTCTTATTTCTAACTCTACGTTATTTTGTACATTAGAAGGCGATGGTCCTATAAATTCCAACATTCTTTGACGACTAGCTGATATTTTCTGCAAGTAAAATATACGTCAGTTAAGTTTACCTTTACATTTATTGAAACATAATACCTGTTTTTTTGCATTTGGTTCAGTGCTCGTTGATGGCTCATTAAATAATGCGTCATCGATTTCCTTTAATTTTTCAATTTCTTCCATAATCAAGTTCTCCTTGGAAATTGGAGACAGAACATCATGCACAAGTTCCAAGGAGTTTGGCGATTGTTTGGGAATCTGTAGTATATATTTATCTAAAACAGGCCAGTTTTTTTGGCATGGGTCCATAAGCGCAGCTACAACATACATTCTATATACTTTGAATCGCTTCGTAAAGTTTTGCACAGCGAAATTGCATAAATTGATTGTTAGTTCAAAAGACGCTTTTTCTTCTTCTTTCTTCAATGAGGACATAATGGATTCCTGAAAATAAATACACGAAGATATCGTCGGATAATCTTGGCCTTGAAGGTGTTTTGTGGCGTCCTCAAAAATTTATAAAAACGTGCCAAATTCCGTTATAATTTGCTTTTCCATTGTCCCAATCACTAACAGTTCCTTTTTAGCTTTAACTAATGCTACATTTATAGTGGATATATTATTAGTATAGCTTTGAATCATTGCAAGCAGAGAGTTCCAACGTGTTGCAACGGAATTTTTCAAAGAGGTGTGGTGCTTGACGTTTAAAGTTGCTTCATATTGTTCAGTAAAATAGTCATCTCCATGTGGAAATTGTTCGCAACTATCCAAACTCTCCAAAATTATTTCAACCTCTGTAAATATTTTTACTATATCGTTTTGTTCCTCCATATTTTGAATATTTGATATTTCTTCATAGCTATACATTAAGCTGCCATACATTTTTTTTTTAATTTTGATATTATGTTATTAATATTTTCAAATGACTTGTTGTTTAGTATATCTTCCATCAAAAATCTGTGTAAAACATGAGCCATACAACCATATCTTGGTATATTTTTAATTTTTAAAGCTGAAACGATGTTGCTTCCACCATCAGTAACTGCACATATGTTTTTTTCCAACAGATTAAATTCACATAAAGCTTCTTCAATTTTTTCTACAACTGCTAGTCCAGTGTGAGGTCGTGGAAAGATCTCTGTCTTGAGCGTTACAATTTGCATTTGAAAATTTTGGCAGAAATGCACTTTTATGTTTATGTAAGACAAGTGCTTATGTTTATCTGACCACATATCCAATACAAGTGTAACATTTTTGGGCGACTCTTTAAGGCTTGTTTTTACGTGGTCCAAATATATGTTATAAACATCGTTTAAAGCCGTCGTAGCTATTGTCCTATCTGTGGGGAATATAGCCTTTGGGTTTAAGAAAGATACCAATTTCTTAAATCCTGGCCTTTCAACAATTTTAAACGGTTGCAAATCCCAACAGCACGTTTCGGCGACCCGGCGAGCATTTTGTTGTTTGTTGTTACAACTTGTTGAGGATTTCAATGCATTTTTGTGTCATTGTTGAACTTTTCAGGTTATTTAAAGATTTCACGTCCAAGTTATGTACAGGTCGTAGATGGTTCATATAATTTGTGGTTGATGTTGATTTTCCAAAACTAAAATCATAAACAATTACACACATGCGAATGGAAAAAAGAAATTTTTACCTTTTTAAATTGGTCTTTTTATCCAAACACAATTTGCAAAATTTATATTTTTGAAGTATATGCCTCTTTTTAAAATAGAGATCACCATAATATTTCCAACATATTGATATACCACCTTCATTTACAACAACCTTTGCCAAATTTTTAAATTCATTTTTCTTTTTAAAAAGATCTTCATATTGAGATACATCTGCATATGGAGAAATATTGATTTCAGTATCAACAGATTCGTCTGAATCGGATTCTGATTTAGTCAAAACTGTTTGACCCTTTCGGTTAGCGGAAAAATAATTTTTAATATTCCTTTGGCACATTTTGCATTATATTCTTTGAACAAGCAAAAACACAACGAATCTTTGGCAAACAATATGGTTGCCACTCCATTAAAATTCGTAAGTTACAAAAGGTTGCCAAAGGTTTTGTGATAAAAAAAACAAATCTACAAAGACATAATACCCTTACCACTATGTGGTGTAGGGTATAATTAATATAAATAGCCTACACGTTTTTGCCTCTCGAAGACGAGTGCGCAATGTAAATTATCGTCCAATAATGAGCATTATAATATGTTAATTTATCGATAAGATTAAAAGACATATTTATACAAATTTGCTGTATAAATTTATATTTTTCAACTGCTTAGCCGACTCAGTCGGCTAAAAATTTGAGCCGATGAGAGCCGCATACATCAGCGGCGGCTCAGATCACTTAAAAAAAGTCGGCGGCGGCTGCACGCCGACTGCGAGCCGATCGGCTTCGTGCTCTGCTCCAAAAACAATTAGTCTTACTAATTCCAAAACAATATTTTCAAATTAAAAGCACAAAAAGAAATAAGTAAACAATAGAAAACATCTGATTGAATGTCGATGAATGAGAAGAAGAAGAGTTGCAAGAGATTGCAGGAAGAAATTTTTCCAGCAAGAATTTGCAAACTCTCACTGAAAGAACTGTCAAAATTTCTCTCTCCAACCGCTCTCTTTTGCAGAACTTTTGGGTTAACAGACGACTTCCAGTAACAATTTGTAACAATTGTTACAAACTTTAAGGTAACCAGACATACCTAATATAATGAGCTGTCACTCGAATAATTTTAACAGCTGTCGGACGAGTGGCTTAGAAATTATAGCAGTCTGAAGTTGGTTGAAGTTTTTTCATCTCTACCTGTATATGTATATATATAAGAATAGGTCAATATTGGCCAACTGCTTCGGAACCTCCCCCTTAAAGGGTCAACAGTTTGAATAATGATAACTCAAGGCTGGGGGTATACATCTGTCGGAAAAACCGATTGATACTACTTTACTTGTTCTATTTATTTTTAAAATTTTATGGAAAATTACGTTTTTAAGAGTTTTCTAGATTTTATAGGTTGTGAACTAAATGGTTATTTATTGGTTTATAAGTCTTGCGATTAGAAGACATTACATTCAAATCTAATTTTTAGAGTTTATTGATTTAAAGCATTTTCACTAATTTTAGTCCTTGGGATTTTGAGAATTTTCGCCACTGATTCTGGACGGTGTCACACTGATACTATATCCAGAAGACAAGTAAATCTGTTATTTCCGATCTCCAACTTAACTACAAGAGAAATATCGAGCAACGAGCTAAGATGGTATATTACTCTTGAAAGAGCTCCATAGGTAAGATTTAGAGGCTAGTGAAGGAGTATTCTTCAGACGCAATGGACATTAGGGTATATCGAATGGATTTTCAATTAAATCGTAACAAACAACTCATTTTTTGAATTCCTTAACATTGGACTTATTATATTTTATTGGTAGGTTCTTAATTTCATTTATTTACGATGAAGACGCATTTAATGTAAAGAGTATATAAAAAATAGGTAGGTATGTGTGAACAAAAAAAAAGAAAATAGCTGAAGTCAGGTGGAACATGGGAGTCACAGACATGTAAATGACATTGGTGATGAATGAGTACAAAAAAAAATAAAATAAAATTGAGAAATTAAACTAAAAAATAAACACGAAATAATTTAAGAGACAAAGACGACATATAAACGAATGATAGCTGCAAGAAACATAGTAGTTGTAGTAGTAGTGTAACAAATCCATAGCTCTGTGCATTCTTAATCGTCTAAGGTTATGTGTAAATTGGCAGAGGGGTGTAGACCGATTTCCTTTAATGTACACGTATTATGTTCAGATTCTAAAGTTTTTCGAGGAAAAGCACATATCAGCTTGTAGCCGCTTTTTGGAATATGTGAATGACATTGTCGTATGTAGGAGCGTAGGACCTCCACTTTGGTGTCGGAAGGCCAACGCAATTGGACCACTTCATCGGCACCTTCGGCATTGATTATTCTCAGCTTAAGCATGGTCAGTTCCGTTTTATTGGCGCCCAATTGTTCTTCATAGGAGGTGCGTTCACAGGCAGCCTTGGTGTCGTCCTCATTGAATTCTTCTACACTGCCTATATCACTGGCCGCATCTTCATTGGCTGCTCCCTCACCATCCTCATCCTCCTCATCGTCGTCATCATCATCATCAATAATACCATTTTTCTTGCGATTTTTACCGCCTCCATTTTCCTTCATCGAGTTACGTATGGCTAGCGCAATTTGCTCATCTTCCGATAGTTCCATTATTTTATTGCGTTTCTTGGGATTTTTTCCAGACTTTTGCGATGAAACACTGCTGGCATTGGAATTGCCCTCATCAGCATCGGCATTATATTTACTTTCTCCGCCCTCATCATCGCTATCCAAACAAATGGCAGTGGCTGAACGTTTATTGGATGTGGATGGACCACAATCATCTTCCAGTTCTTTGCTAAAATCTTTGTGCTCCACCAGAAACTCTTGGAGTTCACTAAGCAATACGCTAGCTTTTTTGGGATTAGGACATTTCCACATTTCTTCACCGGTACGTGGATCGATGACGCACACATATGGAATCTTGGCACAATGATAGAAGGCCACAAAGCGCCTGCCCTCAGATGAATCACCATCGACCTGCAAATAGCCAAATTTCTCTCAGCTTTTTTTTACTTTTTTTAATCAGTCATTTCCACTAACCTGCCATAACAAAAATTGTCTTTTCATTAGCTTTCGCAATGCCTTGTCGGACCATACATCTCGATTCAATAGCTGTGAATCGAAATTATCACTTTGCACATTCACCAGCAACCATTGATGCAGGGCTTCGGCCCGGTTGCGTGCCGCCTGCATACTGCCAGCAAATGCAATATCTGTTGGTGGCCGAAATAAATCCTCCAAACGACTCTTTTTCGGCTCGGACATTTGGGCTGCCACCACCATATCTGCTGCCCGATTTCTTCTCGACGAACTGCGACTGTGTGTAGCAGCTTCATAGAGATTGTCCAGTGCCACAAAACTACCGGCTTCTTGCTGCTGCAATTGTTCCTCCATTAGAGCACCCTCGCGGGCAAAATCCCGCAAAGGACAAACTTTGACGCGGCGTGTACTACGCAATCGTGGCGGTGGTGCAGCAGCGTAAAAATTATCATCTTCTGGACCAATCAACTGTTCACGTATCGGAGCAATGGGTGCCCGCACCCCATCCTCATCATCGCCACCAATCATTGGTAAGCTGGCATCATCGCTGGCGGCCAACTGACTTGTACCACCACCTTCGAAAAACAACGCAACTGCAGCTTCCACTTCATTGTTGCAGGCCGAGAGTAAATGTTTGGCCTCGGCTTCAGTTGTCCCCGTCACTTCGCAGACGCTCTGTACCAATTCACTAGGTATTTGGGACATATTGGCCGTCCACACAAAGTCTTAAAATTGCAAAAATTTAGATAATTTCGCCGTTTTATCCGAATATAAATCAAATTTTCACGACACCAAATTACCAAAAGAAGAAATGTGACTCTGATATGGCAACACTGAAAAGAAAGACAGCACAGAGAGAAAATCGAAATAAAGATGGAATCAAAAGGGAAAGGCGGACAACACAAAAGGAATCAAAACAAAACGGCCGACAACACAGCAACAGATGTTTAAGATATGGGTTATCATTTTACGATGATTAGCAAACAATTTGCTATCGATTCTTTGTGATTAGCAGAGACCAAAATATGAAAGCGTTCCAAATGCCACGAATTAGGTAAATAGAGCAGAATGACCAATAAACAGAAATGGCAAAGCAAAATTGTTGTGTTTACGAATCAAGGAGGAAATAAAAACAACCAACTGTCGTTATTATCGTAATGTTTACGAATAGTGGAGGGAAGCAAATCAGCTGCGATATGTTGACAAAGCCGAGCGAATGGTAATAACGGCGGTGGCTGTTGAGAAATGCTGTGATTGAAGTTTTTTTTAGAAAGGAAATTAATTATCTATTAAAAGCGAAAATTGGCTAAAAGACATAGGTTCGTCAAAGAAAAAGACGCTGGAATACTGATTCAAACAAAAAATCTAGTTATTTTTGCCTCTGTCAATTCTGTCTGCCCGTGGATTGCTCACAATTAGGGATATATAGATCGATTATCGATAATAGCAAAATGACTATTGTAACAGTACGTTTATATATAAATGGGTTAACCGACTGGATTTGGATTAAAATTGTCATATCCATTATTTATACTTCAAATAAATCCTCTCAAAGTAGGTTAACCTTACAAAAAGTTCTAACGTAAACATAGCATAAGGTAGGGATATCCGACAAATAGCAAACGAGTATTAAAGTGTTTAAAATATATTATATTATTATCTAAAATGAGGTTATCTTGATTTAATTGTACCATAACTTATGGTTTAAAAAGGTGAGCATAGAGTGCAATGTGACCTTTTGTATGCTTCTCTAAGTTTCTGAGTAGGATTGTACCGAGATAATTGTCGCTCATAGAACGATTCGTTGTCAATCCATCCTGTACTGAAATACAGAATTTGTACACTTTTGGATTTTCTTGTGAATGGTGCATTGCCATGGGCCCAATTTGATAGCTGTACTAATGTATTTTGCATCAGATAAGATTGACTTTGGGCGGCATTTTTTATCTCATTATAACCCCAGCCATGTGGCTACAGAGGGTATATATCATTTGATGCGGCCAAAACGTGCCCCATCGAAGTAACGGTTTTAGACACTAGGTCTCTTTGGACCAAACCCGTTTCAGAACATTTAAAGTCGATTTAGCGATGTTCGTCCGTCTGTCTGGCTGATGATTACTCTTGATGAGAGTATCCGATTTGATCCAAACTTGGCACATCGTAATATTATTGGCAAACTTAGATCGAGTTCGAAGATGCACAATATCCTTCTGGTATCTCCCCCACAAAATGACAACATTTTCAAACAAAATAATTTACTGCACAGAAAGTGAAAGGATAATCCGATTTTGCTCCAACTTTGCAAAACCTAATATTTGCATCATTGCTATGTCAGGTAGCAAAATGGACAATATCGGTAAACTCCATCAAGTACCTCCCCTACAAAGGGTCAAAATTTTGAATAATTATAACTCTTATAAAATTTGATGTAAGTGTCCGATTGTCTTCAAATTACACAGATCACAACATTTTTATTAACCCAAGGTCGGGTGTGAATATGGAATATATAAAAATGGTCAAAGTTTTGAATAACCTGAACGATTATAAAATCCAAAATAAGCATCCGGTTCCCTTCATATTTCACACATACCATTATCTCTACTAACACAGGATTGGCTGAGAATATTCGATATATCGGTCCACTCCTTCTGGTACCTCCCCCACAACGGGTCAAAATTTTGAATAACCATGAAGCTCATAAAACGCGAAATTAAACTCTGATTCCAATCAGACTTGGCACATCTCAATATTTCCATCAACACAAGATCTGTTATAATCTGTACCTCCCCACACGGGATTCAAAATTTTGAAAAACAAAACGCTCAAAGAAAGCGAAATAAGCATTCCACTCTCTTCAGAGCATTCCTTCAGAACCTACACCATAGAGGGGCGACAAATTGAATAATCATAACAGAAGTCAAAATATATTGACATAATCGAACATCGGCAGAGGGTATACATCTGTCGGCAAAGTCGACTGAAAATTGTTCAATGTATTTTTTTTCAAATCCAATAAATGCTTTCTTATAAGAATTTTTTACGACATTCCAAACACTGTACCAGGTTACTGTCTTTCAATTATCTCTTGTTTCTTCGTTTTTTTTCTTATATATTCTTTTTTAACTCTCTCATTCGTTGATGGTGTCAAAATCAGCTGTTTTTGGGGGGCCAGCTGGCACATAACACACACACACACTTAGCTGGCCCCACAAATGGAGAGAATCATCAATTGTGTTCTGTAACTCGGCGAGAGCGGTTCAACTATCGGGTATAATCGGCATTAAACAAAATCTTTCATTGTGTGTGTATGTGTGTGTATTATTGTGTCTTTTTACATTCTGTTTGCAAAATTTTTTCTTTGTTGCCTTAGTGCACAACAATTTTGAAAAAGGAAAAGAAAAGTGAAAATAAAATTGTAACGTGTAAAAGAAAATTATTAATCTCGCAGAAGAATAACCGAATGCAATGATTTAATCAAAAGAAAAGTTTTTAGGAAAAAAATATGTTCTCCAATTAAAAAAAATCTACCATCTGATTAGTGGAAGAATGTAAGAAGGGCCAAAAAAAGTTCAGCAAGAAAGTGCAGAAGCAGCAGTTGGAATTGAAAAAGAATGCCTTCAATGCAAAAATATAATAGAAGTGTAAAGTAGAAAAAGAATCATTGCCGTGGAGAGTGATTATTCGTGTGTCTGTTTGTTTGCCTGCATACAAGTAGGTGGGAGAGAGAGAGTGTGTGAGAGTTTGTCTGTACTCTTGTCTTGCCTGTGCTGTGTATTGTTGCTATTGTTCTAACGTCGTCGTGATGTGTCAATGAGAATATTAATTGGGAGAGCCCTCCGTGGAGCCCACCAGTCATTGTGTTGTGTTGTTTCAAAAAATAAACAGAAAAAAATACCCCGAAAAAAATCAAAAAGTAATTGTTTGTGTTAGAAAATAATTAAAACAAAAACAGTTGTGTTATAAAAAAAGAAGAAAACAAAAACAAAATACATTTGACATTTGAGTGCTTCCCACATTACCTACTTAACAACCAAGCAGCTCCACTCCAACTATCCATGTTGGAGTTATTATTGCATTATACAACTTTAAAGCTGACTACTAAACGAAATTTCCAATCAAAATGGTTTCTCTTATCAAAAATCAACTGCTGAAACATCTGTCAATGTAAGTAGTTGTATTCCTCCAGCATTCTTCCTCAACGCCAGTTCATCATATATTTATTGTTTATATGAGTAAGCCCCATGATGTGTAGTGTTATTGTTTTCATTTCTTTTTCAAGTTTTTGCAATCTCATGAACTGTTGTTTTTCAATTGCCAACCGTATCACTTGAGTGATGGGTTGCCAGATGGATTAGATTTAGAACGTGGCAATTTGCCATTTATTTAACTATTTGGGTATTTTTTTTACTTTTTTGTTAAATGTTTTTAATTAATTTGTAATTAATTTATTTTTAACAAATCTAATGGATGAACATGAGTTTGGAAGAAAATTCCGATTTAAATATATTTTACCTAAAATTCAGGAGTGTAATCTCACTGATTATTATATTTATTTTATTGAGACTCTTGTGTTTTTAATTATAAATCATGAAAAAGAGTGTAAAAAGAACACCAAAAGCCGTATTATTTTATTTGCCTTAATTGTGGAGCACTTATGGACTTTTATTTATGTGCGAATAATTTGGGAAAAAAAAACTTAAAATTCCCTATAAAAGCCGGAAACAATACATATGTATATAAAACAAGTAAAATAGTATCAGTCGGATTTGCCGACAGATGTATACCACCAGCCTTGATAATTCAAACTTTTCAAAATGCTGCCCCCTTTATGGGACAGGTTACGAAGCAGTGAGACAATATTGACCAACTCGTATCTGACCTTAGACCAGGGCTAGGCAGAGAGCCTCAAAAATTTTTTGTGATTGTATGTGTTTTGAAATAACAAAATATTGCAAGTATTTTTTGCCTCTCTTTACAGAGTGAGAAATAATTTGTTATCTTTAAATTATCAATTTAAAATTTTCTGTTTTCAAAATAACTTCGTTAGTAAAAAATTAATATTTTGACAGACAATTCGGAGATATATTTGTAGAATTATTTCAATTATGATTCATTTTAAAATTAAAAAATATATAAGAAATTTTATATAATTTTTATGTTATTTTTGTTGAATAATTTCGTCTATGTTGCCCCTTTAAAAATCCGATTCCGATTTCCACAGGCTGGCATACGCAAATAGTCGTAGAATTTTATGCTGATCAGAAACTCATATCCTGCGTTGGGTTCTAAAAGATTATTTCTATGAATTACAAATATAATGATAAACATCGCATCTTGCTATTTTTCCTAAAATTGACTAAGAACGTACATATAATTTCAGAGAAATCAAAGGATATGAAAATGTCCACTAATTTGGAAGGACAATAAATTTATCTAACAATGTGAAATGAATTTCCATTCCTAACATGTGAATTCGTATGCAAATTTTGTCAAATAGAATTCAATAAGAAAAGATAAATGTCAAAAGTTGTAATTTTTACAATTTCGGAAATATTTGTTTTAAATATGTAGTAAGATATGTTTATGTGCTCCAATATTTCTTACGGTGTATTCATAAAAATATCCGACAGCACCTTCCTTATCGACTGCTCGAACAAAACTAAATATTCTCCCCAAACCAATTTGACAGAAATTTCAAAACAATTTATTTTTTACAATTGTGTTGGTGAACACACAGATATCCCAAGGGATACTCTTTGCCTAGCCCTGCCTTAGACTGATATAATAATATTACCAGAGGGGTACCAGAGGGAATGGACCGATATTTCCCATCTTCACAGCAGATCTTGTGTTGATAGAAATATTGATGTGTCCCAAGCCTGAATGGAATCGGATGTTAATTTCGTGTTTATGAGCTTCAAAAAAAAAAAAAAAAAAAAAAAAAAAAAAAAAAATCAAAATTCTGACCCTTTGTGGGGGAGGTACCAGAAGCAGTAAACTGATATATCCCATCTTCATAACAGATCTTTTGTTAGTGGAAATAATGGGATGTGTGAAATATATTGAAAACCTGATGATTATATCGGATTTTTTGATCGTTTTGTTTATTCAAAACTTTGACTCTTTGTGGGCGAGGTATCAGAAAGTATGGTCCGATCTCTACCAACTTTATAACAGATCGTGCGTTGATGGAAATATTGAGATGTACCAAGACTGAATAGAATCGGATGTTAATTTCACGTTTTATGAACTTCATGGGTATTCAAATTTTTGATCCTTTGTGAGGGAGGTACCAGAAGGAATGGTCCGATCTCTACTATCTTTATAACAGATCTTGTGTTTATCGATATATTGAGATGTGCCAAGTCTGAATGGGATCGGATTTTAATTTCGTGTTTTATGACCTTCATGAATATTTAAAATGTTGACCCTTTGTGGGGGAGGTACCAGAAGCAGTGGACTGCTATATTCCATATTCACACCAGACCTAGGGTTAATAAAAATATTGTGATGTGTGTAATTTCGAGACAATCGGAGTCTTACATAACATTTTATATGAGTTATAATTATTCTAAATTTTGACCATTTGTAGGGGTGGTACTTGGTGGAGTGGACCGATATTGCCCATTTTTGCACCTGACCTAGCACTGATGCAAATATTAGGATTTCTCTTTCTGTGCAGTAAAATATTATCTTTGAAAATTTTGTCTCTAATGTCTCTAATTTCATAAAAATACCGAAAATTGGGATGTACCATACAGGCCATATAGGGGCTATACGAAGACGTAGACCTGCATAAGTAGTTTTTTGCCATATGTTGTATCCATTAATATCTTCCAATACTGAATTTAAAACTATTCCGGTTTATATTATGGCTAAAATCATCAAAATATCGAATATTAGGAGGTACCGTTATATGGAGGCTATACGAAGACGTGGGCCTGCATACGTAATTTTTTGTCATAGGCTGTAGTACGCATTACGAATTCTAAATACCAAATTTGAAACAACTCCGGTGAATAATGTTCCTAAAATCGTCAAAATATTGAATATCGGGGTGTACCGTTGTATGTGGGATATACGATATCGTGGAACTTTATAGGCATTTCTCTTTCAGGTGGTAAAGTGCATAGAAAGAACTTCTAGTATGGATTTTTAGACAATTCGATTGAAAAATGTGACTAAAATCATAAAACTTCCGAATATAGGGAGGTGTCGTTATATGGGGGATATACTTTATCGTGGACCTTTATAGACAAAACTCGTCCAGGGGGTAAAGTACTCAGAAGTAACTCACTTTGTGGATTTTCAAACAATTTTATTGAAAAATTTTGCTACAATCGCTAAAATATGGAATATCAGTGGGGTACCGTCATATGGGGGCAATATGATATCGTGAACTGATCTTCGAACTTGACCTACTTGCGGAGAAAAGACTGATCTGTGCAAAATTGTAGCTTCTTATCTTAATTCACTTTGACTGTAGCGTGATTTCAATATACGGACAGACGGACGCACGGACGGCCATGGTAAAATCGTCCTAGAAATTTACGCTGATCAAGAATATATATACTTTGTTATGTCTAAAATTATTATTTCGATGAGTTACAGACGGAATGATGAACTTAGTATATCCTTCATACTACATATGGTGGAGGGTATAAAAACTAAGAAGATAAAAAGTCCAATAAATAAAGACGCTTCATCATAGAACTTAAAATTATTGGGTTAAAAATAAATTTGTTATATTTCTCGAATACACATATTGAAGTGCAAAAATTGAAGACATTTATGATAATTTTTTATTCTGACTAGGCTACTACGACTTTTGTTGCCCATTTTCCTACATTTCACCGTTATTTCTAATTGACACAATTTCCCTACCATTTTGTTGCATACACAGCCCAATGTGGCAACTCGGCTCACTGGTTGCATGAAATTGGAAAATAATTGATTTTTTCTCTCACTCTCTGTTTCTCTGCCGCACTCTCTCCTCACATTGTCTTACTCAAAGAAAAACACACACGTACATGCCTTTACTTTCACGCACCATATGTATGTTTGCAAGTGTGTGTGAATGCGTCCAATGTAAATTAAAATTTATATCGGAAGAATAATTACGCACATTCGATAGCCCTCTCAATGGCAATATTGGCGGCGACAATGGGCCTAACAGCAAATTTCTGAGATTTCTACCGCAATCATAACATACACTGCACAAAACTGACCTTTTGTGTGCGATTGGGCGTGGATACGTATGTGTGTCGGTTGTTTGGACGGCATAAAGAAGAAAAATGGTTTAATTGAAATCAAATATCAATAAATATAAGTGTAGACAATATGATAAGATATGATGCGGCATAGGAAAAAAGTATCCAGATATTATTGTGGTTTAACCACAGCCACAGGTTACTATTAGTATCACCGATAATAGCAAGTGTTTTTGAGATATTCTCAGATTGGAATAAATAAGTCATTGCTAGTTATAATATCGTGGTATGTATATAAATAATATCGCAAACTATGTTTAGGTTCGGTTTTTTTAACCTCCACCATACATAGTATGGAGGGTGTATAAAGTTCGTCATTCCGTTTGTAACTCATCGAAATAATAATTTTAGACATAACAAAGTATATGTATCTTGATTAGCGTAAATTCTAAATCGATTTAGTTCTGTCCGTCCGTTTGTCTCTCTGTCCGTCCGCCCGTTAGTCCGTTCATCAGTTGTAATCACGATAGAGTCAAAACGAAAAAAATTGGATGCTAAAACTTTGCACAGATCAGTCTTTTGCCTGCAAACAGGTCAAGTTTGAAGATGGGCAATATCGGTCCACAAAATCGTATAGCCCTATAACACCCCCATATTCGGTATTTTGATGATTTTAGCCAGACTTTTCAATAGAATTGTCTGAAAATCCCCACAAGTAGTTCTTTATTACCCTCTGAGAGAGTATTGCCTATAGAGATCCACCATGTCTTATATCCTCCATATAACGGTACCTCTCTATATTCGGTATTTTGATGATTTTAGCTACATTTTTCAATGGAATTGTCTAAAAATCCATACTAGAAGTTCTTTCTAAGTACTTTACGCCCTGGAAGAAAAATGGCTATATAGGTTCACGATATCACATAGCCTCCATATAACGGTACCTCCCAATAT